AGTGTGTCTGAACCCCGAACGTTATCAGGAAGGCTATTCCAGAGTTTGGGAGCCAAATGCGAAAAAGCTCTCCCTCCTTTAGTGGACTTTGCTATCCTAGGTACTACCAAAAGTCCAGAGTTTTGCGACCTTTGCAGTGTTTGGGGTGCAGGCTATGTTATCTGAGCCGGTATCGCAGGCGGATGTGTGGTGATATGTGTGTATGGCGTGTTAATGCGTGAAACTGGACTTGCATTGATCTCTGCGCAGGATGTCAAACATTTTAGCAGTGATCTCGTCCTTGTTATTGCTCTCCACCGCCAGGCTGTTAATGCATAAAAAATCGTTTGTCCCCATGTTTTCCTCCCCATCTCAATTGGACGCCCGGAGCAACAGAAGAATACCTCGTTATTGTACTCCACAAGTACTCCTCCCCCTCCCTTCTTTCTGTTCTCCTCGTCCCTCATCCTTCCATTTTTGTGTCCATCTATCTTTATGACACCTGGTTTCATCTCCTTAATGTTTCCGGACTTGACAGTCTCCCTGGTCAAAAATTCTTTTTTAAGCCTGCTGTGTGTTTTTGCAGGCAAATTGCAACCTAACGGGGCTAATAAAAACATTTTCGAGAGAGGGAAAGCGAAGGATCTGAGCGAAGGTGTGGAGAACCGTCATCCACACCCCAACAACCCTATCTGTTCCTTCCTCTCTTTATCACTGTCAGCCATTCCCTGCATCCTCGCATTTTCTACATCACAGCCCAGAGGAAGAAGGATTGATAAATATTGCGGGTCTACTTTTGCAGGGCTTTAATCTCACTCGCATTTTGTTTTGGCCTGCGGGACTCATCGATTAAAACATTCAATCAAAAATCCTGGAGACATAGATATGAAAGTTTTGTTTGCAAGCTTTTCGCTCCTCCATGGTTGGTACTTATACCCAGTCATTAGTCTCAGATAGAGGAAGGGTGTTTCTTCAAATAAGCATCCAGGACGTAGCCAGTATAGCTTTGCTGAAGTACCTGCTAAAAGATGAAGGTACCAATATCTCAGTATATTAAAATGTCTTGGGCTCCAGCTACTGACCTAGAAGGCCATAGATGTTGACCTTTCAGAATAATTGGCTACATGGATCCATAAAGGCCACATAATCTCCAAATTATGTTTGATCCCTTGATTCCTTGTATTGTTTTAAGTGTTTTCAAAGCTTTCAAAGTATTTTTGTCATAACCTTGAAAGACCGCATTCTTTGAAGAAATTACACTGTAAAAAAAGGTTTCCATCCATTTAACTTGGCACAATCATTTCTGCCATTTCTACTCAATTTAATCTTTATTTTCTTCATCAGTAACTATATTGAAAGTGGCCAGAAAGTTTAGAGACATTTCATTCTACCTAAAAAAAATTACATCATTTTGTTTTTAATTTGACATAAAATTGGTTAAAAATGTACATAAAGGCAGCAATAGAGAGTTATTCGTTTTAGTCTGTGACTTATTTTTACTATATATGTGTGTAATGTTTTAGAATATATGTATTTTAGAAAACTGCTAGATGAAAGCATATAGTGTCAATCATACAATGTAAGACACAGCTGTACATGAGCTGACACCTTGTTGTCCATATGCCCATCACTTATCTGAAGTGTGAGAAACCCATTTCTGTAGCATCAGACCTTTCTATGAGAGACCACCGGGCTCCTCACACCTCTAGTAATAGTGTATGAGATCCATACCTTCAGCTGAACACCCCGTGCTATTGCTTGCTCATGTGAGAGAGTGAACATTGGCTGTTATGGTCACAGCTTTCTCGACAGAGTGAGGAAGAACAAGAAGCAGAGGTGTCACAGCATCGTATCGCAACGTCTCGAGAAAAGGACTCTTGTGTGCCACGACATGTTGTCTTGTCATTGTGTTAAATGTGTGTGTGATTGCATGAGACTCTTTAGTTGACGGCACTGCAGCTAATCAGCCAAGAGGTCCTGTAGGGTGTTAGTCCAAGTGTTGGAGAGTCCTCCTTTCCTCTACAAGAGTCTTGACATCTCTTAACCTCTGTCAATCGTAATGGTGTCACTAACTGTGTTTTCTCCTACCGCACAAAGCCAGCTCCTCACAGACATGCCGGTATGCGATATATGCGATATTTAAATATATAATCAAGTTTTTTTACTGTTTCCCATTTCATACTTACCGTAACAGTGAATTGTTGCTATGGTTACCTCTTCAGGATGTTCACAAGCGCCTTATTTTTATCGGCACAGTTGTTTGTAACTTGAATGTGAGAGTCCTCCGGTGTCATTTTTCCAGTTATTTTACCTGAATAAAAGCAGCACGATATTTTGATTTATTTAGCAAACTGCTATTTGCTATAATATTGTTTTTATTTATTATTTGTGACCCTGGACCACAAAACCAGTCTTAAGTCGCTGGGGTATATTTGTAGCAATAGCCAAAAATACATTGTATGGGTCAAAATTATAGATTTTTCTTTTATGCCAAAAATCATTAGGATATTAAGTAAAGATCATGTTCCATGAAGATGTTTTGTAAATTTCCTACCGTAAATATTTCAAAACTTCAGTTTTGATTAGTAATATGCATTGCTAAGGACTTTATTTGGACAACTTTAAATGCGATTTTCTCAATATTTTGATTTTTTTGCACCCTCAGATAGATTTTCAAATAGTTGTATCTCGGCCAAATATTGTCCGATCCTAACAAACCATACATCAACGGAAAGCTTATTTATTCAGCCTTCAGATGATCTATAAATCTCAATCTCAAAATTGACACTTAAGACTGGTTTTGTGGTCAAAGGTCATATTTTATGTAAATAAATAAAAATAGCTTACTTCTGCATTGCAAAATAATGTTGATATTAATATGTTGGGTATTTTACTTATTATTATTATTATTATTAAAACTTTGTTTGGGAAAGCTATGCATACTTTTATGTAAGAAAAATATGTGTATTCATTGTTAAAATGACTACATAAAAACAATCAAAAAATTAACAGACAACCACCTAATAACAGCATTTGCTAGGTTAGAGGAGCAACACAGCCGTTTTAATTAGATGGAGAGAATGATGAACAGGAGGAAGGAACTAATGGGAAGGTAGTGTCACTGGTGTCTGTAAGTGGGGTCAGGAGCTTAGGGTCAGTGCTGGAAGGTGAAAGGTCAGGGCTCCTATTAAAATACCTTTTAAGAGTCCTTCAGAGATCTTATGTAATAGCAGTGGGTTGACCTGAGGTTGTTAACCTGTATATGAGGGATGCTTCCTTTGAATATATTTTGACCTATGGTAATGAGAATGTAGAAATGTTGGTCAAGTTAAAGCTCTTTCAAGGTCTTTTAGCGTGCAATAGAATTTCACCTTATTGACCAATTTTCATAAAACATGATATAAATATGAAGTTCAGTTTTAAAGTATAAATAATTGCATAACTGTGCAAAAATGTAATCAGTTATTAAACTGTAAAAATGTTTTGTGATACATTCTAAATCAACTGTTTTTATTCAAGTAAAAAAAAAAAAAAATGACTAAATGAGCCTAACTACATTAGATTCAGCTGTTGTTTGTTATCTTTCACCTAAAATGTGTAGATGTACATGATGCTATGAAATGTTGAACTTATATATCATTATTTACTCTACCTCAAAAGGTGTTTTCAGATCATATCTAACAGTATTAAATAAAAAAAAGAGCAAGTAATACTAAGCAATACTAAAGGGTAACATGTAAATTGCACTGCTGCCTTGCACTGTCTTTACTTTTATAATTAATTACACCTGTAATAGATGCAACAAGGACACTGTAATGCAAATTAATTCAGAATATTCTTTAATAACTGTATTAACAGCAGATACCTGCATCAAATACTAACCATCTCCCAGGAACCTAGTGTCTTTGTTAGGGATACGCCATCCTTTTCCTCCTCCAGATCTACAAGCACTCTGCGTCCACCTTCACCTCTGCACCCCCTTTATCCTCCTCTATCTCTTTCTCTCCATCTTCTCTTAACTTATCTTCCCCCATCCTACCCTTCTATCAGTCCATGACCATTACGCTCATGAATCAATATTGACGACCCATCATCCGAAGGATGAATTACGGGACTGTGGATGGCTATAGTCATGTGACGGCCAGGTTTTACATTATGTTTCGGCCATTTAGTTCACGCCATTATGCACGGCGACTTGGAATGAAGTCCTTTCAATCTGAGGCTGAGGAAGGAGACGCATTACCACCTTTAAAAGCACTTCATTGCCGTTTCTCTTCAACTGATAAAGAACGAGGTGTGAAAGAAATGAATAGGCCAGTTGGTGATGCAAAGCAGATACCGTAGCTCTTACAAGAAGTTTCATACAAACACTCACCCACACATTCACGCAGAGGGAATATGATCGATGCTACGGTTTCTGTTTTCACAAGAGTGTTCCGGTGCATTCATCCGCCACACATTGTGAGTAATCAATGTTGGATTGAGATTTTTGCAACGTGTCTCTGCATTTGTAGGAAATAGAGAAAGTACGGTCTTCTAGTTGGTTTATCTGCAGAACTGAGGGACGAGGCCTGTGCTTAAGCCTAAAATGAAAATATGTGGGCTGGTAAGAGAGCCAATCACAGAAGTGCTTTCATCGCCCTCTGGCCACTCCTGACCTCTTCACCCTGGCCATGACCCCTTAGGCCAAAGGTTACCCTTAGGGGTCAAAAAGGATCATTGGCAGGCAGGTCCAAGAGTTGTCACCATGGAAACCACTGGAGATAGATGAAGATAGGGAGGTAGAGGGGAGATCATGGTGCTTGCCGAGGTCCTCTTTGTTTCATGGTCCAGTGGTTTTGTTGGTTTAGGATCCCCCTGCTGGACAAAAATAGTGGGGTTGAGGTTGAAAACTAAATCAGAAGGTCATTCGTTGCTGTTTTAGCCGCTATAGGTAAATAACAAGAACAACAAAGTGCAGTTAACGGTAAAACTATTTTGCATTACAAACCAGTGTATTTATGACTATAATAAATGTAAATAATATGTTAACAAACACCGTTTGAATCACAAAGCAGCATAACGAACCTCTTTTCTGTATAGCTGACACCTGAAGACTTGCATATTCAAGTTAAACATATCCGCTATATATTTCTAACTCTTTAGTTAACAATAAGGTGGATAAATGAATCATGTGAGTAAAAGGTAAGTGAGATTATTGTGCCACCTAGTGGTTAGATTGTGTATAGATTGCTACAATAGTTTTCTCTTTTCTCACATTTCTCCTGTCTTCCTCCACTAAAACTAAGCTAGGTGCCAACAACAGCATACAAAGCAATGATAATTTCACCATAACTGACATCTTGACTGGAACTGGTCGAGCTAAATTTTAAGTTTCCTCAACAATGATGTTAGTGAACATTCTGTTGTAATAAGTCTGGTATCCAAAAACAAAACAAAAAACACCTCAGAATTCAGATCTGTACCACTACGAAGCCTTCAATACCTGATGAGCTGGGGTAAGTCTGTCTTAACCAAACTGTCGACCCTGAGCCACTGCACAGTTAATCACCAGGTAGCAGAGGTTTGATTAAATCAGCTTTGGAATGCTGAATTGGACTAAAACTGAGGCCAGAATGTTTTGATCGGCCTTTGCCCCACGACTCATCTCTTCTTACCCCACTGTCTGTTAATCAGGCCCACGTCTCCGGCATTAATCTCCGCCCCCTCTTGTCCTCTTCCATGTACCTAATTAGATTAAGGGGATCAACACACCAAGCACTGCTCCACAGCTTAATGGGGTTTAGGGGACAGGCTTTTTATTCGAATGAGAAAATGAACAGAAGTCAGTAACACGTGCACATGGGCCTTTACCAGAGATACAGTGTGTCGAGATGGGAGTCAAACTGTGTGAGCATTTGCACTGTAAACTTCATTGCCATTATGATGAAATGGAATCATTATAGCAATGATGATTTATCTTAATCATTTGCCAATAATGATGTGAAAAAGAGCAATGAAAACAGACTGATATTCACTCAAATCTTTGTGAATGTGTATAAGGGAGATGAAGAGAGAGAGAGAGAGTGCAAACTGCAACCTGTTCAACAGCTTGTGTCTTATAAGCATAAGGCACGCATATGCAAGATAATTAATGTCCTAAAGCTGTCAAAGGCAAGAGGATTTAATGCCGAGGACCATTCATGGGAATTAAGCAAATTAATGCAAAGAAAAGAAAGATTTGGTTAAGAAAATTTAATTAGATGGCTTTATAAGGGTGATAATTGCTTAAAAACCTTGTTTCTTGGCTAGGTTCCCACTCCTTTCTTCTATAATTATGCCTTAAAACAATTGTTTGTTTGTTTTTGTTTTTTTAATTTTGTTTGTTTTTTTAATGTATTTTTCTAGGTTGATAAAATTGTTCTCATGGCATTTTTCCAATAAAATATATACAATTTTGATATATAAATATAATAAATATAATTGTATTAAATAATCAACAATTTAAATAATATTGAAAAACAAATCAAAATATTTGAATATTAAATACATTTATAAGGAAACCACATATTCAGGATCTTGTATAAAATATATCTTATATTATATATTAAAACATTATAATCTGTCGATATTATATATATATATATATATATATATATATATATATATATATATATATATATCGACCGATTTTACTGATAACGATAACTAGTTTGGATTTAAATATCATTATTTATTATTTTAAATAGTAGTGTATCTGACACTATCATTAAGACCTCTTTGAATACAAATGTCAAAAAGTATGTTGATGAGTAACCTAGATGTATATTAAATTTATACAATTAAAATTAGAAAGCGAGCTGTTTTATTTTATAGCAAATGTGACGTCTTTACAGTAACTTTAACATAAATGTACATGAATAGGGTCACTAATTTGACTTATTTTTTCCAAGTGGGTCAGGGTTATACGAATGACTATACATGCTGTCTTCATTTCATCTTTTCGAAAGTGAAGTGGGACAAGACTGCTGTCTTCCTGAAGCTGGTAGGAATCAGAGACCGATTTTCAGAGGCGTCGAAAAGAATGTAAACTGAAATCATATTTTAGCCACTAATTATTCTGTCCGGATGACTCCCATTAGCTCATGGCCCTCTTGTTCTGCTCGAGGTAATGCCGTTTTGAGGCTTCATGTCGCCCCACACTCGACTACCTCATCCCTCCCTCCATATTCTCCAGCAGAATTGTAGGTCCTCACCTGAGGAACGCTTACCAGATTATGCTGTGTGATAAGCTTCCTATTTTTCGAAACTGCATGGAGATTTATGGGATTATCTGGGTATTTATCCCAGAGTCGGCTTTGGGCAGCCTGCCGAAATCTCTTAGGACTAAAGATTTGGCTTCTGAGCTCTTCTGTCTAATTATTATCTGGAGTGGCCACAGCCGTGAGGAATGTGTTCACTGTTTTACACCATGCACAATGTGCTCCCAAAGAGATGCTTGCATGTTAACACGCTTGGTGAGAAATTAAATGGTATTATTGTATTACTGGTCTTAATAATTTGTTCTGTTGCAGTCTAAGATTTCACAGTTTTCTTATAATATCTGTTTAACCCTCTGGTATTGTTCATTTGGGAGTCACATTTGTGTTGTTCGTGGTCAAAAGTGAACGGACACCTGAAATGTAACTTTTTTTCATTTTCAGTGAAATCAATGTATATATATTTATATTATATATATAATATATTTTTGTTCAATAATATTTTTTCTTTTTTGTTTTGTATTTTGAGAGAATTTCATGGTACCATTGGAATATTTATGCAATAATTATGATCAATGTTTCCCATTGCAAATCATATAAAAAATAATTTTCTAATATTTTTCTTTTACTTTTCAATTATGGCAGTATTTTATGTTAAAATAGAGACAATGCCTTTAAAATCCAAATTTTTTTCAAGCAGATTAGTTCCATCTGGTGGGAGTAAAAAAAAAAAAACATCTGAAATTCCATGGTTTAGCCACTAGATTCCTATAGAGCTCTATATAAAAGGCTTATAAATTCTCTAGTTGTTTTTAGACATAAATACTTTTTTTTGTGGATTTGGATTTAAGTTGTTGATTTGGATTTATATTTAGACATTCTCAAGGACAACTTTTTGTAAAGGTTTAGATTTTTTTGTTTGAAATGTCAGTTTTTGTATTAATTTTACTACAGTCAAATCTGAACACAAAGAAAGACATTTTATTACACATAACATCAAAGTTCAACAAAAATGTAACAAATATGATCAGGAATGCTTTATCAGAGGTTAATCTATCTGATTTCAACCTCTTATTTGAGTCTTCTGGCTCATGTTTGCCATATTGTATGTATTTGGGGGTGAGTGTGTCTGTTTTGCACTCTTGATATTTTAGAGTGTCACCCCTTCATTGCTGTGCACTTTTCTCTGCATCGTGAATGATTTGTAGATTGTACACACAAGAAATTCTCTGTATTTTCGTATTTTTGCGTATTTCCCATTCATGTCCAATGGCGGTCATTTTAAACCACGAATAACAAGTGTGAACTTTTTTTTACAACCATTTAGCTTTTTCGAATCAAATCCACAATTTTTTTTTTGTGGTCGCATAGTGACTGCTATAAAAGTCAGCGAGTTTCGTACCATTCCGATGAAGTAGCGATTTTTAACATTTCAAAACATTTTTTTTTCTGGTCTAAAATGACCGAACAATAGAGGGTTAAGCACACAGGATTTTTTATAATCCTTATGTACCTCATTAATTAAAACTCTGAAAGCATTATTTTATTTATCTTAATATTTGGTTTATATATTCTGGGTTCAGTACATAATATTGATTTCCACAAAAAAAGTAAAAAAAAACAAAAACAAACAAAACAAAAAAACATTGAGGCACTTACAGTGGAAGTGAATGGGGGCCAATTTCTAAACATTAAAAAACCTACGGTTTCAATATGATAGCCACAAGATGTAAACGTGTGTCAATTTGATTTTAGTGTAATGAAAAAACACCACTAAACTACTAACCTTTTGTGTATGAAATTATGAGCAATTTTGCAATGACAATATAATGATGCGCCTGTTAAAACAATGATCTAAACCGCTTTATGGCTCAAATAATACACAATTTTAACAGAAGAACTAATGTAAGTGTGAATGATATGCCTCACATTTCAAAAATTTGACCTTGTTCACTTCCATTGTAAGTGCCTCTTTGTAACCTTGATTTTTGCTTTTTTTATGAAAACGAGTGATGAGTGGAAATTGTTTTTTTTTTTTGTAGAAATCAACATTATGCCACAGTATTCCAAGAACTGAACCTGGAATATTCCTTTAAGAGAATGCCAAAAAAAAAAATGCAGTCCTCATCTAAATGTATTCATTTTCGCTTTACAAACAATTTTGCACTTATACAAGATGGCTTACAAAATATGTACAATTAAACTTCCAACATTTGAACGACATGAATAAATAATTTGAGGGTAGATCCGGTTATATGAGTCCATGAAGGGATGGCCTACGGTGTGTCTGAAGTGCAGCCCAGTTCCAGTACACTCTGGGCGAGAAGCAAATCAATGGATGCGCCGGTGGACAACACCAACACGATGTCCGTTTCAGGCTGAGGCTTTGATAATGCACGGGTAGCGTGAAGGGCAGCTGCCCTGTGACTCTGCGGATCCTTCTCCGGGCCCGTCGCCGGTGGTAGTCCCTGTTAGAGAAGTCTTGAAAGTTGGCCGGATGAATAGCCCAGAAATGGCCCTTGCCATTGTCACTGCGACCGTCTTTGATGAAGCACTCGTTCAAAGAGAGATTGTGTCTGACACTGTTTCTCCAGTTCTTGTCCTGTTTAAAGAGTAGAGAACGTGAATTATGACTCATCTGAAAGTAAGATACTTTGACTTAATAATGAATATGAGTTCAGATTTGTTATTTTTAAGATTTACTATTATTAAGATTTATAATTTATAAGTTGTGGAGGGGAAAAGCTAGTAATATATTTTAAGAAATTACCTATCACTGTCTACAATATCATGCAAACCTGACCAAAATTTTGAGGTCATGATTCTTAAATTTACTTTGAAACAAAACTTTTGGTTTTACAGATACAAATCTTTGTCAGATTGTGGCAATCAAAATCTAATTGTGAAATCCTGTGGTTTGACAGATAAAGATCCAAATATAAGGCTTTGACAGATTGCAAATTCAGATGCAAGTTCATAACATTTGCTCTGGTTTGTGTTTATTTTTTTTTTCTTTCATTCTGCAGTAGGTCTTTTGAAGAAGTGCTTTGCTAAATGCAGTTGGTGATCAACAGGATTACTAAAATGGTTTGTAGGCACTTCAAGAAATGTTTAAACATTGTATTTGATTAGAGCTACTATTGAGTGAATGATTAGCATTGGGAAGTACACTGTAAAAAATGACCGTGAATTTAACGGTAAAAGACTGTAAAAATGCTACAGTAAAAACCTGTTAAATGGTTAACAGTAAATTCCCCTACTATATACGGTGAAAAACTGTATTGGACATTACATGTATTGGACATAAATTTTACGGTAGTATACCGTTTTTGGAAGTAATTATACAGTGAATAACCGTAAATTGACATTCCCAGAATTCCCTGCGTTACATTTCAAATTTGATGTTTTTTTGTTGAAATAACTATGTTTCTTCTTAGTTTTTTTCTTATCAGTTTTGTATATTAGGGTTGTGTGTTACACCTAATGTTGTTAAATTAATGTTTATTGCATTATTTCAGTTTCATGTGTGTTACCATAATGGTGTTTAGTGTTTGTGTGAATGACACTGTGCACCTTCTACATATGTTATTATTTAAAAGCTGCTTGTGATGGGCTTTGGTTCATCATGTGACTTTCTCATCACCACCTGCATTGGGTGGTTGTCAGTGTATTACAAAGGTACAAAACAGATTTCAGTACTTCAATAGGTTGGTATATTAACATTATATCAGTTAATGAAATTACGGTATTTAACTGTAAATTTAAGTTAAAACTGTAAAACCTAAAACGTTGCTACCGTATTTTTTTACGGTAAAATATGTGGTTGCCGGTTTTTTACCGTAAATTTTACGGATTTTTTTTTTTACAGTGTACTGCAAGTAGTCGCAAGGATGTAGATCACTAAGAAGTATGTTGGTGAGATGTAAGTTGTAGAACATCTTACAGATCTTTGACATTTCGAAAGATTTGTACAAAATTGCTTAACCTAACCACAACTTGCAAACAGAACCCTTTGAGGAAGCTTAGTTGCTTTCATGAAGGTACAATACCTTGCTTTTGAAATAAGGATAGTGATCCATGATCCACTGGTAAATATCACATAGCGGGAGCTTCTTTTCATCTGAATCCAGGATGGCCATGGAAATGAGGGCAATGTAGGACTGCGCTGGCTTCTCGTCCGTTCCTTCACTCTTAAGATTGGTCTTCTCGTGTTCTTCTTCACATCCGTTTTCTTCATTTTCCTGGTCCTCTGATTTTTCACTATTCTGTTCTGAGAAAGTTTCATTGACTGTGCATTGAAGACCTTCAGATGGAGGGCCATTGTCCTCTGGTTCTGCTCTCTCATTGTTGCATCCCTTATTGTACAACAGATAGTCAATGGTGAACTGAAGTCCCAGTTGTTCTTGATTGCTGCGGCATGCGTTGTCCTCCATTTCTGTATTGTTAGATCTTGGAATCTGTCGCTTAGTGGTTGAAAATTCAGTTTTTGGATCCAACTTTATAACATTTTGTCCTGGTTTGACTTTCTTTGTCTTTCCTTGTGTGTTCCGTCTTTTCAAGAAGTGCTTGCAAAGATTAGTCCAACAAACGATTCATTTGGTAACAGATGTGACGTCAGTCTCTGAGGCATGTGTGAATCGAGTAAACAGGTAAATGCGTTCGTTAAGTTGTGTGTTTGTTCGATTAGCCACTTGTTCGAAAAACACCACCACCAGTTGCGAATCTTCCTAGAAAGCCTCCTTCAAGAAGGACTTCTCTTGCAATAACCAGATCGTTAACGCCACTTAATTTAAATGCTCTGCATATTTAACCACGCAATTAGAAGCAAAGTGGGGTACAAGAGAGTTAGAGGCAGGGGCTCTAATTGAGGGGGATTATTTTCATTAAACCAAGCAAATCTTTGTAATTACGAGAGATTACACAGATTATTGTTTTTGATTAATGTAAATAGTCTTGGGTGGTGGCTGCAGTGATACAACATGACCTCTGGGTGTGCTTATCCTGTTTGTGTCAAGTCTTTGGGACTAAAACAAAAGCATTGTGCATTTCAGTTTACTGTAATTTAAGATTTTAAAAAGTGTTTTTAAAATCAGCTTTCATGCACTAATGTTAAGATGAAAATTAAAAATTATAATACAGTATCCTTTTTGATGATTAAAAAAATTGTGTTCAGTCTTTGAAGTTTAAGGTTTAGATACTGTGTTACAGTAAGAACCATTTGATGCAACCATTTAATTGAATTCCAAACAATAAAGTTAATTTTAAAGATCATTTCCAATAAAAATAACCTTGTACATGTAGAAGGACATCATACTTTTCTCTTTTTTTCTATTTATCATTAGCTTTTTCTATTTAAAAAAAATAATGTAATACTTTAAAAAATTCAAACAATAATGAAAAAAATTATATTAAATTTAGTTTCACCATAAAATAAAATATAATATAATAATATTAAAGTGTAAATCAATATAAAATTCAAAATAAAAAATATATTATAATTAATAATAATAATAATAATAATAAACTCAACATTTTAAAAAATTTTCAAATGGATAAAAAATCTTTTAATATGAAATCTGGTTTCACTGTAAAATAAATTAATAAATAAAATATATTAAAATACAAAAGTGTCTCCTAAATAAATATAATAAATAAACATATATTCAAATATATTATAAAGTGTCTGCTGAATTAATACATGTAAATATTATGTTTAAAATTAAATGCTTTTATTGTCAACTAAGTTGCTCTTACACGCCCTGATGCTAATTTTACAAACTATTTTGAGATTTAAGACTCAACACACAAATACACACAGGACACTGCATAACAGTACAGCACATTACAGAAGTGAAATGGGATTTTGAAGTATCTCATTATTGGGTTGGGTTTATATATAAATAAAATATTATCTGTATTTTCCCCTTTTGCTCCAGTATTTATTTTTATTTGTTTTATTTTATTCATTGTTAAGTGTTGTACTGTGTCAACATCTGAACAAAGATTTTTTTTTTTTTTTTTTTTTGTATAATGAAACGTGGCAAATAAAATGTTCAGTTAAAATATCATTTAGATACCATAGCAGTCTTATGTGAACAAGCTTGCTGTATTGGTTTCAGATTATCCAAATGAGTGCCCTAAAAGTCTTTTGTCAATTAGTTAATTATCTGTCCTATGAAGGTAGTAATTGGATTACACGTGAATCTGTGTTCCTATTAAAGCCACTGTTAGTGTGGTTGTTTGTCTGTTGTTGACCTAACACTTAGTTGCAAATAATATTACTGGGACGCAATGTAGTGTCCTGATTCAAAAGGTAGGAGAGTTTGGACACGTGGGCTACAGCATATCACTATGACTCACATGCATATTTGACTTAAAATAACTGCAAGAACAAACACACACACACACACTCCTATATGTGCTATATCCAGTCCTGTAATGGGAATCAAGGTTTAACCCCTTAGCATTCCTGTCAAAAATTTTTTTTGTTTAGAACTTGTTATAATACACATACAAATTATGAAAAGAAAAGACTCAAAGAGCTACACAGCTATTTGTCTTTTCTCCAGAAACATTTATATGCTTTCAATGCGTAATTTGTATGTGCCATTAACACAGGTCCAACCCACAAAGACAATATTGCTGAATGTTAATGTCAAGGTTATTCTAGAAAACTAATTATTTTACAAAGAAATATAAATATTATATATTCATTTTATATTGTTGTTTATTTTCTAAATGCTATTTCAGATTAAATTTTGCTATATGGTAAATTGGTGCATAATTTGTTTCTTCAAATATATTTACATCTTCCATTTTGAACACTTGTTGCTTCTGTTCATTGCTTTTATGTCATTTTTTAAAGTTATATTTATGGGCTTTTTATGCCTTTATTGTGAGAGGACAGTGGAGAGCTGACAGAAAAGCACTGGGAGGAGAGAAGGGAGCAGGATCAGCAAAGGACCTCTAGGCGGGATTCGAACTCGGGTCACCATGAGCGCAGTTGCACTATATGTCAACACACTAACCACAAGGCTGTGGGCACCGACTGCTTTTATGTCTTATTAAAAAATGTCTTCTTAAAAAAATAAACACGATACTCTTTTTTTAATTTTAAGTGCATTCACAATTCGTTAATGTCTGAAAATTAATAAAGAGCTATGAAAATAATTTGAAATTTTCTGTTCACATGGAACCACCCAACAGAACAGATATTATAAAATATGTTAAATTACAATTAATAGTTTTAAAAATATTTTAATGAAAAAAATATATATATTATTACTGATTGCTTGTTGCCTGCCTGAATACCTCAAACCTGATTTTGTTACTTAATTGTTAGCTTGTGGTTGAGCAAATTGGATAATTTGATTGTCATTCTACATTTGTAAATCTGTAAATTTCCTTAGTTGTTGTTTTCCACTTCTTGGAACTTCAAACCATATTTAAAGAGACAAATTTTGTGAAGACTTTCAGAGGCAAAGCATTGTTAGACAGCAGCGCCATCTTTTGCCAAAACAGGGAAATTAACATGCGGTTTCCTCAAAGAAAGAGTTCTACCAATAATTAAAATTCTGTCATCTTTTAATGAGCTTTATGTTGTTAAAAACAACTTTGTTTCTTCAGTGAAACACGCAAAAAAAAAGATGTAGACATACTCAGTCACAATTCACTTTCATTGTATGTTTTTCTATACAATGAAAGTGAAAGGAATGAGTCTGTAATTCTGCCAAACATCTCCATTTGTGTTCCACAAAAGAATGTAATACAGGTTTGGAGCATAAGATTACAGTATGACTTGAGGATATGTATCTCTACAGGTTCATCATTATAACGCTATTATTCTTGTTTTAATATATGTATATTATACTCACCTTCGCTTGTTTAAGGAACAATGTACCTGTTTATTTCCTATTTTGCCTTTCAAGCCTTATTTTTACCTCAGAAAATTGACCTCAAACATTCTCCCCTCCCCCACCACATACAATAAAGAAAAACACGGGATGGAGTTTCCTGAGGATTGTGGATTCAGTCTCGTGTGGATTTTCCAGATCGGTTTACCCAACTGTCCTCGATGAGCAAGTGTGTTCGTTGTATTACATTGAACAGCACACTGTTAACGCGTGTGGGTATATGTGTGAGTTGTTTTAGTGTGCTTCTGTTGTCATTTTAGGACTGAAATTGCACAAAGCATTCAGACCTCAATATCGTGGCTTTTTACAACTCATGAAGTGGATTTTCCCGCACGGAATGGATCGAAAGGAGCCATGCGCTCCTGTTCCACTTGTCGCGGGAAACCCACCTCTCGCATCACATCTGAATGCAAAACGCAACGTGCTTTCGCTCTCACGCCAGACTATTAAAGTGGGCAAATCAGACTGTGAAGTTCAGGCGACGGTGGGTAGGATTACAAGCACCAGAGGCCTATCAGAAAGGGTAGACCTTGCTTCAAGTTCTCTTTTTTAGACCGCACTGTCCCTTTTAAAGCTCGCCGCCACGCCTCTTCGCAAACAACCCCGCCTACTTATAGACAAACCGCCGTGCTGATTGGACACCGGCGGCGGTCATCGAACGCCTTCTCTGCTTCTCATTGGCCAGCCGCTGCCTTTCGCTTCAGGCTCTCGCGGGGCTGCTGTGCGAAAATGGCGGCCGAACTGGTAGAAGCGATGGTGAGTAGATGAGATTTTTTTAAATAGTGAAAGTAAAAGGAGCCAGGCGAGTTAGAAGCGGTGCTTATTCAAACAACGTGAGTTAAATTTCATACTGTCGTATTTGGTGCTCATTCAGGACAAGTGTCAGTCTGTAAAGTGCGTTGACAATATGTATAAGTGTGTATGTAAATGATTGTGTGTCAAAACCCAGTGAGCTGTTTATGTATCCAGCATATCTGACGCGTTCTAACGTTAGATTCGAATTTTTGAACGTTCTGAATGTGCATTTGATGTCCGAAACGCAGTTTGGTTAGACAGCTCACCAGGCTTTGAGACCAAAGCTAGTGTGTCTGTGTGCGCGCGCGCGCGCCTGTGGAAGTGAATGATTAGTCTGCAAAATACAAAATAACAAAACAGTCTCTGCCTTTTCAAATCACACGTGCATTTTATCCATGTAGCTGTAAAAATCAACACAATTCCACACTTTGCAATGCTGTATGTTAATGTGTAGGTATATAGTCACTTGCACAAATGATGCATGTGGGTTGCATTAAAAGATAAATAATTTTCATTTGTGCAAGACCGTTTTACTACTGAATAGCAGCAGATGATCGCAGCCATGCTGGTATTCAGTAGTGCAGCATGATTACGAACATGCTTTGAACCTCATTGTTTTACCTTATTTGCAGAACTGATTTCTGTGTAACGTTAGTGTTTATATGGAGAGTGTCATTGGCCTGCAGGGGTTCAGTCATAGTAAACTAGAGATTGAGGTCATTTTGAAGCTTGAGGATTGTCTTGGCATTGAATTTGGAAAGTTAAAAAAATCTAAACAACTTTTTAAAAGTATTGTGAATTTTTAGTAATTATGAAATTTTAGTAGATGCTTTTATTTTAAGCAACTTTATGTACACCTAATATAGAGAAGATGAATATTTGTTGCGAAAGTTATGTACGATAAACATTTGAATTTGAATTTATGGCTGTTAATGTGTCTATTTAGACTGGGATGAATAATCGCATGCACTAGTGGGACAGATTTTTTACAGAGAGGTGTTTTAATGTCTTTTACAACAAATTGCGAAGACAACTGGCCAACCAATAAGATTCCAACCAACCAATAAGACATAAAACTGTAATTTTGTGGCACTCATGGACAGAGTATTCTGCTGAGCAACAGTGAATAGCAAATGAAGAATCCAGACGTGGCGTTCCTGTATTTGGTGTTTATTGACTGACTTTTCTGTGACAAGCGGTTTAGAAATAAAGTTGCGCAGAGCTGCTTTGTGTACCTGTCAAAAACCATTGTATTTCTGCTTTTCTATCACATGTGAAAACTGGAAGGTATTTTAATGCCCAACATTTGAGCTGGTGTGAACAGGTCCCTGGTTCTTGATTTGTTCTCTTTTGGGAATCGAACCCACAACCCTTTGGTTGACAAGCCAGATATTGAACTCTTCGGTGCATTTCCCCGTTTCTCATTCTCATGGGCTGTTTTTGTCTCCCCAGAACATGGTGAAGAGTTTCCGGGTGTCTGATCTGCAGACGCTGCTGGCCTCAATGGGCCGCAGCAAAAGTGGGTTGAAGCAGGATTTAGTGGGAAGAGCTCTTCGGCTTGTGCAGACCGAATACAGTCCGGAGCTGCTAAAGAACGTTCGACAGCTCTACGAGACGCGCTTCCCCAAAGCCTCGTCTTGGCTGGCGGCCCGACGCCCTGAGTCCGTGCCCGTAAACTATCCTGCCCTTAACTCCTCGCCCAGAGGCACGGCCCAGGGCACAGACTACCTCAACGGCATCCCCAAACCAGCTCCGCCTCCTGTGGCAGAAGTCAAATTGGTGCCCCTGCCGTTCTACCACAACCTAGAAACGCTGCTGCCACCCACAGAACTAAGTGAGTCCCATTATTATGAATAGGGTTGGGAACCGATAACCGGTTCTTGTTTAGAAGCGGTTCTGTTTTTTGAAAAGGACTGGAACCGTGAGCAATTTCTAAGTTTCGGTTCCGAAAACGGTTCTGGTGCGAAACGTGACCAAGCGCTCTGAGCAGCCTTGCGCCGGCGTTTCCCAGATAACAGAAACGCCGCCCTGCCTCTTTAATTACTGAGCACATTGTTTCCCATGACGCGCACTCCACAGACGTGCCGCATCTTTAACTGCCGAACACATCGTTTTCCACAACTGTACGCGCACTCGCGTCTTTGATAAATGTGCACGTTGTTTTGACTGACTGTACATGTACCGGCAGCACGCAGCTCATGCCGCCACTAAATTACATTATATTTGGCCCATATTGTCATTAATATACATGCTGACTTCAACTTGGACCATTAAATAAATAGACTGCTATTGTTATGTAAGTATGAGGGTTAGATTATTTAGTGTCCAGGTCATTTCAAGAGTGATAAACAAAGTGATAGAAAATAGTTTCATGCATTTTAAATGTTTAAAAATGTGGAAACCACTCATTGCATCACACCATCTCCTGACTGCATTATTATTTGTAAAATAGGGGCTTTATGCAGTGTGTGTATATATGGTTATAAGTATAATATTTAATTAATTTAGGGAAATTAACAAGTGTCTTAGCCCTCAAGGGACTATTTGGCCAACCAGCTTATTCCTGTTTGAAAAGCAAAATGTTATTGATAGAGTAAAAAAACATCAACTTTGAAGCACATGCATTACTCAACATTACTTACTACCTTCCAGCAACACTACATTCAATTAAGGTAAAATAGTAAAAAAAGAATAATAGTTCATTTAAATGGAACCGGAACCGGAATCGTTAGGCAAAACTGGAATCGGAACCAGAAAATTTCTAACGATACCCAACCCTAATTATGAATAAATAATAACCCAATTATCATAGGTGTGTCTAGCCAACAAGAAAGCCATTAAGTGAGCTAATTCTGTTTTTGTCACTCTTTGCAGTCGCACAGAACAGCGAGAAGCTGCAAGAAAGTCAATGTGTTTTTGAATTAACACCAAGTCAAGTGGAACAGATCCGGAACTCCAGGTAAGAAAAGTCATCTTGCTACATATATATACACACACACACACACACACACATACATATATATATATATACATACATACATATATATATATATATATATATATACA